CCCCCCCCCCCCCCGCTCCCCCTGTACACATTGGTCAAAGCCTGATGTCCCAAGGCGCGAAGTACGCCGCCAGGACATGGCTTTTCCGCCCACAGCCACGCCAGAGCCTCTGAAGGTGTGTGCGCTCCTCCACTCTCCCATCTCTGTGCGCTGTCGTGGGTGTCCTCACACGTCACATTCCTCTCGCCCCCCGCCCCCTCCTTTGGCTGATGCGCGAAGCGCATGTACACACACACATACATACGCGCGCGCATACACACACACACACACACACACACCATCCGCGGAGCGAGGGTGAGAGGAGTGCAGCAACCCAGCCGACAGCCGAATGCGCGCCTCACTCTTCGCGCTTTCTCGACGAGAGGGGAAGGGCGGAGGGAAGAAAGTGGCCAAACAAAGAGGAGAGGCAGAGAGAAGAGGCTTGAGAGGGGAGGAAATAGGGGGGAAAGGAGAAAAAGAGCGCCAGGGGGGGGGGGGGAGATTGGATTCATTGGATACCAGTATCCAGGTGCTATGCTGTGTGCGGGGAAGAGGGAGCCATGCTGAGTATTGCGAGCATCTCTCGTCTCCTGTCCAGGAAGGAGGGAGAAGAGGGAGAAGAGGGAGAGAGAGAGAGGGACGTGCAAGCATGCTCAGCAGAAACAAAGGGGAGGCGCGGGTGCCACACACATGCGAAAAGGTGCGCACGTGTGTATGGGCTGATGAAGGAAGATGGAGCCCCCATGAAAGTACCCCATGTCTGGACGAGAGGAAAAGGAGAGGCTGTAGGCATGACCGGGCAGCCAGCAACCAAGCCGGGTGTGGTCCCCCCGCATCCCCGCATTTGGAGAAAGGGGGGGGGGGGAGCAGGCATACCCAACCGAAGGGAGAGAAAAAGGCAGGGATGTGTGAAGGAGCGGGAGATGATGGAAGAACATGGAACTCCTGCGCGAATACACAGGGGGGATTGTCCCCTGGACAACGTGCGGATTCTCTTTCCCTCAAACACAAACACACACACACACCGACACACACTCGCGCGCGCACACGCACCCCTGGACCCGTGACCTGGGGAGGGGGCAACGCGAGAGAAGGTCTCCCCCTTCTCTCTCCTAGGCGTCGCCCCCTCCCCCGGTCGCCGTGGGCGAGGGAAAGCGATCAATAGTCTACCCACTTAGTACTTGGCATGGGGGGTGTAGGGCGGGGGAGGGGGGTAGGGGGTGTTGTCGCCGGGGGGCGGGTAGGGCTGCTGCGGCGGGTAGGGCTGCTGCGGCGGGTAGGGAGCCTGAGCCACAAAACCAGGCTGAGGGGCACCATGGTGGGCGGCCGGGGGGGCCGAATGGTGGACATGCACGGTGGACTGGTAAGACGCACTCGGGGGCGAAGACGTGTGGTGGACATGCACAGCGGCCACGGGCTCACCACGCAGGTGAGGGTACATGTGAATGATGTCGGCGTTGGCCTGCAGGTGAGTGGGTGGGTGTGACGCGCAAAGTAGTGTACGCCGGAGGGGGAGACGGGGGAGGGGAGGGTTCGGGAGTCAGTACTGAGCAACGTTCGCCGGTCCACTCGACACGAGGCGGAGGGGGCAAAGATGGGCGCGGAAAGGAGGCAGAAAAAGGAAGGCGGAAGAGGGTAAACGTACGCTGTCAACCATGCTGCAGGCGGTGCGCATTCACGCACGCAAGGTGTAAGGGGGGGGAGGAGGGAAGGCCATGGTCAGCTTTTTGAGGGCCCTGATTGCAGGGTGGACCATCCAGGGACAGGGGGAGGTGAGAGTATGGCGTACGAGGGGATGAGGCAAAGGTCAATCAGCCAGCCGATGCCGAGCAGACCGAAAGTCAGGAGCCAGATGACACCAGAGCACACGCGGCCAAGATAGAAACGGTGGACACCGAGGAAGCCTGAGCCATTGGCAAGAGAGAGAGAGAGGTATCCGGAAGAAGAGGATGTGTGAGTGGAGAGGTACCAAGAGCAGGGGAGGCAGAGGGAGGGGGAGGGGGAGGAGGGCGAAGACGAGCTGGCAAGTGCGTGTGTGCAGACGCGAGGGACGGTATGAGATCGCACCAAAGAAGAACCAGAGGCAGTAGGTGAGGCCCATGCTCTTGAGGGCGGCCATGTTGACGATCTAATCCAAAGGGGGAAGCCTTAGAAGGGCTGTGATAAGGAGGGAGACGTAAAGCATTTCAGGGAGGTCAGCTACAGTGAAGGGGAAGTACATGCCGCCTGCTGGGACCGGGGGGGGGGGGGGGGGGGGGGGGGGGGGGGG